GCTGTCAATTCAATTTGTTGTACAGTTCAATGAAACCAAGTTTGAGGTCAGGAAGGCGGCAGCTTTCATTCGCCATAAACGTTACACACGCAAAATTCAACCAAAACTCACTCATGTGTATGTTGGTAGGAAGTTTGTCCATTAACAGTACACTTGTTGTGCGGAGTAACTAATTTTCTTGTCGTAATCGTGGATCCTTGACACGTCGATCTACTGGCTTGGCAACTAAGTAATTGCCGATTTCTGTTATAGATGCCTCTCACTTCCATTTTTATGATATCCGTAAATGTTATATTATAAAATTATTATTATTATTAATATTATTATTATGTTATTTTTTATTATCCGTGAATGTTAGCAACTGGACAAATTGAATGCAGCGGTCAAGCAAAAGCGACCAGAATTGGTCAATCGTAAAGGTGTCATTTTCCACCAGGACAATGCTAGGCCGTACACGTCTTTGTCCACTCGGAAAAAATTGATGGATATTGGTTTGGGAATTGATGTTACACCCACCGTATAGCCCTGATCTCGCGTCATCAGATTACCACTTATTTCGATCCCTGGACAACTCCCTTCGTGGTAAAACTTTTAATGATGATGACGCTGTAAAATCTCACTTAACTCAGTTTTTGGCCGAAAAGGATCAGACTTTCTACGAGCGTGGAATTTTCAAGTTGTCAGAGAGATGGCAAAAGGTCATCGAACAAAAAATGGAAAATACATTACAGATTAAAAAAAAAATTTTTATTTCATTGAACAAATCGGCAATTATAATACTTAGTTGCCAACCCAATAGTTCGCGTGGACCGGTTTCCGACTTATTTACGGAGGAATATCTCTCGTTTCGCGTGGCATCCTTCTAGCACCTAGCACCTGGACTTGATATCGTGACCCACGTCGGATTTCTCGGAAAATTGCGAAATATTTGAGACAAAAAAATTTTAGGGGCTAATGTAGCTACATGAAATTAATCGACGGGGTTAAAACAACAAATATTCCTGTCAGAACCACTAATATCGCACAATTGATCATTTTCTTTCCAATCACATCTAAGTAACTGAAATAAGAAATTATTTGGGAACGATCTGTTTCGATTTTTAGATAAAATAATATTAGTGTTTCTCTATTCAATTTCAAAACCATAAAGTAACAAGTTAGTCGAAATAATTCATTTTTTCAAATTATCATTTATTCTTTGATTCCAAATGTACTCAGAACGTGCGCCCAAGCTAGTTTTGCTACCTGCAATTTGTAGGTGGCAGATATTCATGCGAATGCATAATTAGACGAATGCATTTTTTAGACCATAGATAAATTGATGGGACTTGGACTGATACTTGTTTTGCCATCATAGGTTTCTAAGAATATAGTTTTTATTTTGACATATTTCGCATATAATTCTACATATACACGAGTTCTGTCCACTCAAATATCTCGGTTGTTTCAAACAATGCGAGTAAATGTTACTTGCAAAAGTTATAGAGTTTAAGAACGTGCGTGTTATAATGTAAATATTATTTCTACAAGCGGAGGTATAAAGGAGATGTAGAAGTCAATTTTGTTATTTTAAATGGCATGCCCTATTTTTTAATGCTTTATTTCGATAGATATTCCAACAATAAAACATGTAAGGGATACAACAGTTCAAAAACTAGAATTTTGCATCGCTGCGAATGGTCGACATTTCAAATGGATAGCTATATGAAAAAAGTCAAATATTTCAGAGACGGTACGTTTAAGAGCAATTGCAATCTAATGCTTTTAAATTACGAATGCGCCAATTTATCGAAATCGAACATAAAATATTTCGACATGCCATTTAAAATAACAAAGCTAACCTCTATATTTCTTCTATGCCTCCACATCCAGAAATTAGAAACGAAAGAACTTATGATGCTTGTGCAGACATAAACAGGCTCACGATAATGACGATAATAACGATGACATATTCCTAATTGAAATTGTTATAAGCCGTCCAGTATAGTAAATATTTTGAAATTGTCGTATATATCGCTTATGGAGAATATGTGAGAATAATCTGTATAAATTTGAATGAAATTCAATAACCCAATATTCGAGTTTGAAATACTTTTTTACATGTAATAACATATCGTCGGTCGCAAAACTATCCGAACCACGTGTTTAACATTAATTAATAGCAACATTAATTGAATTAATTAAATATTTAGTATTGTTGAAGAAACCATTGCAAATAAACACCGCTGTGGTCGACCAAGGAAGTTAACGGAGAGAGAAAAAAATACAGTGATTCGAGAAATTAAAATCGATTCCTTCTACAGTTAGTCTTTCTAACATATCTGTATAAACGTCTATCTGGAGCTCATCTTCGCTACTACTTGTGTCATGAGACTCATTCGTGTTTGAAGGTTTTGCCATTGTTCTAATAAAAAATATGAATAAATACATAGGTTGAAAATTTCTAATTGTTATTACTAACTCACAAGATGATATTTACCAAAAAAACTTTTACCAAACAATTTATTTACCAAGAGAAGAATCACTTTTCCGATTGTCTCACTCGTTAGATCTATCTATACCGCTCGACGCTTCAAACCAGACTGAGTTTAGCTTTGAAAATCTTTTCCTCCAGATTTTATGATTATAAATCTCACTATACAGTGCGTGCTATGTTCGCATACCGACCTTTCTTCTAAAAACTTGCCTTATCGCACTTTTCAAGTGGCGCCTTTGAAGTGCTCGGAGCGTCGTGAGCACGCCTCTCACGTTCTCGTCAAAACCCGCTGACATTTCTTGTATATATCTTAGTAATTTTACTATATTTTGATTTGATTTCTTGTGCCATTTCAAGAGACAACTTCAGGGAAACATGCATGTCTCAAAAAGTTGCGCTGAAATAACTCAATTCCCCGTAATCACTAATAAACTTTAATGTCCCACGAGAGGGGATATCCGAGTGATATGCTAGAATTACGATGTCCCGCGAGAGGGGACAGCGGGGTGCAAAGGGTTAATAAGAGTAATTCTTTTTGGAGTACGATATTATTCTGTGACGAAAGCATATACAATATTTTTGGCAGTAATGATTACAAAAATGTATGGAGGACAAATTATAATCAATGAATTTACAGCCAACTATAAAACATAATGGTGGCTCAGTCAGTGATGGTGTGGGGATGTATGGTAGCAAATGTGGTTGAAAGTCCCATATTTATCGATTGGATTTTAGATAAAATGTTTAAAATAAAAAATATTTGAAAAATTTAAAAGAACATTTAAAAAATAAATAAAATAGGTTTTAAAAATTATTGCTTCCAGCAAGACAATCACCCAAAGCATTCGGCAAAAATTGTTCGAGAATGGTTACTGTACAACACTCTACACATATTGCGATATCCATCTCAAAGTGATGGACCACAATCCCATTGAACACCCATGAAATGAGGTGAAAATATTTGCAACAAAAGATCATTGAAATATGGCTATTCTATAGGCATAAAAATTACGACAAATTTAGTATTTTCTATAGAAAACCGTCTTAGGGTTGTAATAACGGCAAAAGGAGGTCCAACTTCGTACTAATTATTTGATTAGTCCAATTAATGCTGCTATTAATTAATGTTAAACACACAATTTGAATACTTTTGTGGTCTACGATATGTTATTATATCTAATAAAGTGTTTCTAACTCAGATATATGTTATTTTATTTCCATGAAATTTATACAACAGTTTCAAAATATTTACTATATCATACGGTTTGTGTTAATTTCAATTAGAAATATGCCATCGTTCGAATACTTTCATGAGCCTCTATAGTTCCAAATAAACAGAAGAAAGTCCTTTAAAAAATCCAGGGTTTGATACTCAAAATATTGGAAAACATACATTTTTTCGTAAAAAAAAAAAGTGATACAAATTATAAATACATAGTGAAATGAAAATTACAATAAGTGGTGCTTATTATTTTGCATATGTCGTGCATATATTTTGCATAAAGATACGTTTTCTAGTAATCTGTAATAAGTATCGTTTGTTGTCGTAAACGTTATTTTAGATTAATTAAAATCTGATGCAATTATGTAGGCTGACCGTGAATCAAACGGAAATTGTTGTTGTTCCGTTTCATTTTTTAGCATTTTGCTTGAGCAAGCACTCGACGCGGTCGAACTCAAGTATCGGCAATAACGTCGACGTTAGCCAAAGCTTCGGTTTAGCTGAGAAGAACGTGCTAACCGTTAATTAGCGTGCCCCAAGGAAAGCTTTGTAGTTCGTCCTTGAAACGTGCATAACAAATTTTTATTTGTATTTTCTGTGTATACTTTCGTAATTCTTTCATTCACACCAACCGTTTTATTCGTGTGCACCCGTTTCATTTTCATTGCATATGGACATGTGTTCACAGTTCTGTTTCTATCATTGTAATTTATGTACCGTAACTAACGATAATTTTCGGACACTATTAAAAATGTAACGATTTTTTAAAAATTGTACCAAATTACTTAAACTTTTTGTAGATGCTAGACTATCTAGTTTACTAAAGAATGAGTAACAAGAACTAATTTTTACGAATATTTACTGAAGAATGAAGACAACAGAAATAAAGAAAATGATGTTTCTCTAACTTTTTTATCTGATCTTATATCGAAAACTTAAACTATACGGTTCGTAGATCTCAGTAATTTACAAGTGCGTCAAAAATTTCATTGAAACAGATTGATTTTCGTATGAGCTACGAAATAAAATATCTAACAGTTACTGGTCGAAAGACTACGATTTTCATTATCTTACATTTTTTCCATTTTAATAAAATTTAAATTTTCGTTATACGCCCAAATAAAAAAAGTTTTGTTGACGCTTCAACTAAAGACATCATTTAACTCATTGTCTCAATTTTAAAAAGATTATTAGGTTTCATATTAAAAGATTATTGTGTCTGAATATTAACGTTACTGTATCTTTGTTACCGTTGCGAACACAAATTCTTTTAAATTACAATAGTTTTTGATTCTGTCTTACTTTAATGAGACTCTTCGGCAAATTGTACGTTGCAGGACTTCGGCTTTTCGATGAAATTATCACTTGACACCACTAAACAAAACTAAAGTCGCGGAACTGCTCCGCACAACTGATGGAACTAGGTGGATCTTGTCGATGCACAAAGGCGAATGCGCAGGCCTGTTAAATATGTATGACACATACTCGAGGAAAATGTAACGGTCCTCGACAAGAAGACAGAGCACCCTATTAATGTGTTAGTTTATTTAATATTTAACGTGAACGAGGTTCGTTATGTGGGCCACTCGGAAATCAAACTAATCGACTTCACGCTTTCTAAATTTTTTCAATTTGTATGCCCAATCAATGGTTGGCAACCATCTGTTAAAATTTTCTTATCAGCTTCGTGAAAATTAAATGACTTACAACTGTTTCCATAAATGTATTCATCGGGGATCGAGAAATATGTGTAACTTTCTCATAAGCTAGATTAGAATCTATTATATTTGTATATGGTGCTTTTTGAAAAATGTACTCATAAGTTCCAGCGAGACCGGATATAAAAGAATTTCTGAGATTAAACATTTCGCTTCGACAAGAATTAATAAAATTTAAATATAAAAATTTCTTTATAACAGAAACAAATATTTTATCGATTAATATGAGAATAATATTATAATTGGTGCCAAATATTATTTAATTTATAGGTACTTCTTTAATGAACTTTCTAAAAAAATTTGTACCCATATTACTTCTAACGTGGAATTCTGAAATATCTGTTCTACAAGAACATTTGTCGAAGATATTCCCAAGAGATTTCCATGAACTCTTTTCGTAAATGTTGCACAGGAACAGATATTTTGGTGAACGCGATATATAATTACGAACAGACTTTTTACCGGAATTGGAGACCACCCTAACCTAATTTGAAACTTATTTCACTAATATCTCAGCAGCCCGCAGTATTCGCTAATTTCGAAGGCATTCCCGTTATATGAATTGCATATGAGCTTTCATATGATACCCAAGTTTGATAACATTGGTTCTCGTATGAGCAAATATAGTAATGCAATATTATTGAGAGGTTTAAAATGTTATATTATATTACATATGTATTACATTATTTATTATGATGTACAAAATGTACATCATAACATAACAGTTGTAAAATAATTAGTGGTTACTTATCGTTCCTCGCTTTACATTAATTACAGATTTCCTAAAAATCTAGATTTGAGGAAGCAGTGGATATGAAGAATAAAAATAGAACATTCATCTTACACATGAGTCTGTTCGACACATTTTATTAAGTAATAATTGCGTTATTCAATCTTTCTGAAGTTTGTAGTCGGTATTAACCCTTCTGTCAATTACTTACCTGTGTACCCTTTTCGCATTCTCCTTAAAATATTTTTTGTTCCTGGTAAAATATTTCTATATATAGCAAGATCATTGTTGTTTGGCACATTTCTTATCGATATCTTTTTTAACTCTACAATTTTGTTATCAGTAAAGTACTGAAAGTACTAAAATTGGATGCTAAAGTTTGATATGTCTCTGTTCAATAACTGGGTATCCGGGTACCCCTTTATACATTCTCAAAATACTTTATGTTTCCAGTAAAATATTAATATTTATAACCACTAATTATTTTACAACCATTANGTATATTAAAAACTGTAAAGAAAAATACTGGAATAAATCTTTTTATCAGTAAGTATTTTTTTACTGTTAATATTTGATATTATATTACATAACCTATAATTGATGAAATGAATATTTATTGTTTGTTTTTGATTATAATGTATAAAATTTCCTTAACAACACTTGTAAGATAAGGAGTAGAGGATAAGGAAGGAACAGATACGAAGAATAAAGATGGAGCATTCAACTTACGCATGAGTCTGTTCGAAACATTTAGTTAACTAACGACTGCGTTTTCAATCACTGTGGAGTTTGCAGCGACTATTAACCCTTGTATTAATAACTGAATACCCGCGTTTAGTCTTTTATATATATCCTCCTCAAAATATTTTTTGTTTCTAGTAAAATATTAATATTTATAACCACTAATTATTTTACAACCATTACGAAAGAAATCTTGCATATTGTAAACAATAATAATATTCGTTTCAATTGTTATAAGCTATGCAAATTGTTCAGCTTTTGGTTCAGTATCACGTACAGAATTTGGTTCAGCAGTTGGTACAAAGTTTGATACAGTATCACATTTTAATCCTTATGTAAAGAACTAAAATTGTTGATGTTGTTCTACAAGGTGTTTCAGGCTTAAACCAACAAACTTTAGATATGAATTTAGGATCGTAAAAGAAATACATTTTGATAGGTGATAGTTTATCGCCAAGTTGCAGATAGATATTTTGAAGAATATATTTAATAATTACAGTTGTCTCCAGTAATAAATACAACTAATTTATATAAACCTATCTAATTTATAAACTTATATTATATAAATTTATATAATATAAATTTATAATTAGTGGAGTTTTGCCGACAGTCTAAAGATGAAAGAAATGGTAAAAGTGGATATATATTTGTCTGCGAAAGCTGTTAATGTAATTTTAGTTGTTGTACATAACAATGAAACCAAGTTTGCAATAAAACCTTACACAAAACATTTGAGCCAAAATTGTGTTCACACACGTCAAATTCAGTAATGTTCCCAAATTTTAAGTGGCAATAATTATCATTATTAAACTATTCCTGACTTGTAACAACATTCTAAATCTCATAAGTTAAATTTATAATGTCAAAAGTGATCTGACATGAATCATCTTTAAAAAAAATAAGTGTGATCCTCCTAAAGAGACTTCATAAAAGAAATAAAAAGAACTAAATCAAGTACATGAAGAAATCAGATAAGAAAAAATTACTATAAAATAATTTTCGCAAGTAATAGGAAAGAAAGTAATAGGAAGGCATAAAAAAAGAAGTGAAATCAAAATGAACTGCAAATACGTATGTGGTTTAATTTATTAGATTGTAATGGTGGTAATGTTGCGTCCAGAGACAAGGGCCATAAAAAGGTCCCACCATTGGGGAAAACCCTCTCAGGCCCCAACAAGGGTCAAGGCAGACACCCCCCTCCAAGGGGTGATTCGTGCCTTGACCAATAATAAACAACTACCCCCATCCACGGTGCTCTTCCACGACTTTCCAGCGTTGGAAGAGCATTCTTCCACCAGCGCTCGCAGAGAGTGCAACACAAAAAATAAAGTTCTCTAAGACTACTAGAGACCCTTCCACGTCATTAGTTTGCCGTAGGAAGCGCGAATCGAGCGTACAATAGTTCGGTCGCGCATGTACGTTAGGCGACTAACCGAACGTACGGACAAAACATTGGTCCTTCGAGCCGGATGCGGTCGCAGTGAACGTTTCCGACAATTAAATACAAAGGTTATCCTTGTAAGAGGAAATTGACAACGAGTGGAAGAATCCGATCCTGTCCATAAGTGGTTGGATCGCAACAACATATCCAGGAGGTACTTGGAACAAGAATACAACAACCGTCGAGCGTTCGAGTGCTTGAACCGGAACAACAATCTAACAACATTGGACTACACGTGGTCCCCCCCTGGTGCAACCTCACTGAAGGAGTTAGCTGAGTTCCAGTTTGGAACCATCGCATCAATATCCAGGACCACAGAGAGCATCTGAGGACCGAACGTGACAACAACACGTCGAACTGGCGGGCTACAACATCATCGGTTGCTGACCACGCGAGAAACACAGGTCAGGTAAGAGGTCGGCTCACCGTCCTTTCCTTTATACCCCCCCCCCCCCAACTTTCCGTCGCCTTCAATTTTAATAACGCAAGGATGGTTGAGGAATTGAAGAAACTAACGAGGCAGCGTGGATCCTGTAGAGGTCAATTAACGCGCTTATACAATAGCATGCTCACTGCCACAGATTTGAACACACAGACGATAGACTATCGTATAGAGAAACTAGAAGATATTATTAAGGGATTCTCTGACATTCAATTTCAAATAGAGTCACTAGAAGACAACGACGAGAATGAAACTATACGCGCGGAGGTTGAAGAAACATACTATAAATGTAAAGACTACATGATATCGTGCAGACAGAAACTAGAGGTAGCGGCAACTGACAGAACTGCAGCAAACAATATTTCTCCATCTCCGTCCATAGTTAACGTCAAATCAATATTACCAAAAATACAAATAAAGCCTTTCGATGGTAGTTATGTAGAGTGGAATAGTTTCTTCGACATGTTCAAAGGTTTAGTACACGAAAACGAGTCGCTGCCGACAGTTCACAAATTCCATTTGTTAAAATCTTATTTACGGGGCGACGCGGCCACAGTTATAGAAGCATTAAACGCCACGGAAGACAATTATTCCGTGGCGTGGAATCTGTTACAAAAAAGATTTGACAATCCGCGCAAAACGGTACAGGCACATGTCCGCGCACTTTTCGAACTACCCGAAGTCAGTCGTGGTTGCCCATCAGCTCTGCGTGTTCTGGCTGATCGAGTTGAAATGCACATCAACGCCTTAAGGTCGCTGGACCAAACCATTGGTTGTCATGAAATGTTTATTTACGTTGTTACTTCAAAGATAGACAAAATAACGCGAATTCATTGGGAGCGTACGATAGAGGATGGGGTACTACCTACAGTGCAGGATTTAATAAAATTTTTAAACAAGTTTGCTTGCGATGTGGAACCTGTAAATCTCGCGAATACAAGGGCACCCAACGTTCCGAGGGAGAAGTTTCAAAACATGAGACACACTGATCGCTCGCAGCAGACATATGTTAACGTCAAACAATCGTTAAAGTGTCCAGTTTGCCAAAGGAAACATTTTATACAAGCTTGTGATCAGTTTTTAAAACTAGATACGCGATCTAGAATTCGCGAGGTAAAGAAGGCCAAGCTTTGCCTGAATTGCCTCCGACCTGACCATCCCACCGCACAATGTTGGTCGAGTAGTTGTCGTCAGTGTCACAAAAAACAGGTAATTATACAAATATTCCAGAGCAGACAAGAATATTATAAACTAAAATAATATCTGTGAGCAAACCTTTGTACTTTTAATGGTTTTTGGTGATATTACATGTATATAAACTTCACGTTAATATATCAGGCATTTTTATATTAGTATATGGCGAAGAAAATATGCTATTAATTCTTTAAAATTTTAATGACTAAATGTACTTGCAGCTTATCTTGATTTCACTTTCTATTTGTATGCCTTCCTATTATTTTCTTGCCTATTACTTAAAGAAATTAGTTTATAGTAATTTTTTCTTATTGGATTGCTTCATACATCTTTGTACTTCATTTATAAAGTTTTTTTAAGGGTATTACTGTATTTCTAGACAAAAACTCCATTTTCTGTACATGTTTTGTTATGGTATATTCTATTTCATTCAGTAAAATGTGATCTTTCGCTTGTAAAAACGAGTTCGCTTCAAATAATATATATGGGACGAAAAAAATATCTCCATTACTTTGAATACTCTACTTGTTTTTTACATGAAAAGATGTCAGGTAAATCGTTTTATGGTTTGCTAGGGCAAATATTATGATTAGAATGCGGATCTTTATGCAAATTTCAATTTCCACATATTATTTCATGAAACCAACATGTTATATTCTGAAGAAGAAAATATAGCATACTG